TATATATATCCTTAGTTGTGTCCATAATATACGAACGATAGTATGCACAAGATCACTTTTAATTGCGTTCATGCATAAACGTACTGAAATTCACTCGTCCAATTTATACGTGCACAATGGGATATCTGTATATATATGTGGGCATGCTCACAAATTTTCGCCATCTTTTTATTCATAAACGTGTACAATAGTTCTGCATAGTGAGCTTTTGCCTTTGCTTTCGTGTCTGTATTGTTTTTCTCTCACTTATAGTCGTGTACTTTCACATGCATGTTTTTTATATATCGTATTCGGGCAGCGTAGTTCGTTATATATAAAATCAACGGCAGATCCCTTTGTCGTTGCTGAGGGCCGAGTATCTTGACTATAAATATCAGTAAAAATTATGAAAACGTGTCTGATAAAGAGTACATCAGACACGTGTTCGTGCAGATGTGACATTACCTAAGCGGTGTATGCATGTGTGCTGCTGTTCATGGCTCCCCAACAGGGACAAGGTGTCAGTCTATTAACAGGCACAATCAAATAGAACATGTCTCTACCCCATACAGAATGGGTTGGCTGTGTAGGCTATTGCGCAGTATGCACCTCTCTGACCACACACAAACATGCTCAACGCTACAGAGAAAGCGCTGGTCGTGAGTACCAAGCAAATCCACTGGGCCAAGTGCGAGTATGAAGACGACTCTGATGTGGTGGAGCAGAAGGTGGGCAAAGAGATCGTATCCATGCACACCTGGAAGCACCACAGGCCGATGGGAGCTGTGGTATGTTTGCGTGCGTGTGATTGTATGTTCCTTGAGTACATGTTTAAAAGCTTGTTGGAATATGTATGTGCATGTATGTGTAGGGCTGTGGTATGTTTGCGTGCGTGTGGTTGTATATGTCCTTGAGTACGTGTTCAAAAGCTTGTTTGCATATGTATGAGCGCGTGTGGTTGTATATGCCTTGGTACATAGTGCACAGTGATGGTTACTCAATGTGGCTGCGGCGACACAATGAGATCGTATGCTATTGTATTCACGTGCCGTGTATTTGTGTAGGGCTGTGTGTCTTCTCATGTACGTATTTATTAACATGTTTATGTGTATGTCGTGCTTGTATGCGAATAATTTATCTGAGTGCCACCGTGTGCATGTGTCTGTAGAAAGTCTCACTTCTACGCTCACAAGTAAACCTATTCCACTACCTACATACACGTATATATACAACCAATTACAATATGTATACACACACACACCTACATACACGTATATATACAACCAATTACAATATGTATACACACACACACACACACACAATATA